TTGTTCCTCCGACTCAAACAATTTTTTCTGATCATAGATCGTTGTGTGATACCAAACACAACTAAATCCCAGTTGATTTATTTTCCATCCTAATGGTCTCTGAGGCATCTTGGAAATCAACTGATAAAACCACATGGAGCTTCAGAGATCCACACCCTGGACGACCCTGACCCCTGAAACATCAGGGTCTAGGCAAGTGTCATCTGGATAGCTGTTGCCACCAGCTTGTCAGAGCACAGTCTTTCTTCAGCAGGACAGAAAGTAAAATGGTGTTTGCAACACTTAATTCAAAACATGAGCTGTTTTTTCCTTACATCAAAAAAATCCATCTTGGAATAGCATATTTACATCAGCTATACAAATGTCCTGTTATGCTTTGCAGAGTTAAAAGTGTCAAGACTACCACGAGAGATATTCATTTAATAAAAATCCTCCTCAAAAGGGCACACGATCTGGTTATAAACACAAACAAAACAAAAAGCCAGAATAAATCTATCTTTACCAACACTTCTTCTAAGATAAAGTATAATCAGAATTGAATCACCAAGGGGGCACGTGTGGAATCAACCCGGTTATAATCTGTGTTCAATTAACAACATCAATTACTTCCTATGAGATGCATCTACATACAAAAATAATACATTGATGTATTCCATAAGATTATTTTAATAACAAATATGAGTTCAATTAGATGATTTACAAGAGTTTCTAAATATTCTAGCGCATCATGATTTTAGGTCCTTAACAATTCAATTCAGAGCTGATTAACCCAGCTCCATTGAGGCAATGCTTGCACACTCACTCCTTGGCCACAGTGGGCTCCCATCTGGAGGGCTCGCTTTGTCCCTACCATTCCTTTAGGCGCCATGTGTAGCCTCAAAATGTCAAATGCTGTTCTTGCAAAGTTCTCAGTTCCATTAACAGATTTTATATAAAATAACCCATGTGAACTGTAACACAGGCCACTTCTATTTTTAAAATTTTTTTAGATTTATTTATTTGAGAGGTAGAGTTACAGAGATGAAAGAGAGAGAGGGAGGGAGGTAGGGAGGGAGAGAGTAAGGGAAGGAGGGGGAGGGAGGGAGGGAAGGAGGGGAGAGGGGGAGGGAGGGAGGGAGGGAGGGAGGGAGAGATCTATTTGCTGGTTTACTCCCCAAATGGTCACAACGGCTGGAGCTGGGCTGATCCAAAGCCTGGAGCTTCTTCCGGGTCTCCCACACAGGTACAGGGTCCCAAACTACTACTGCTTTCCCAAGCCATAGCAGAAATCAGAAGTAGATCAGCCAGGACATGAACCAGCGCCCACATGGGATGCCAACACCACAGGTAGAAGCTTAGCCTACTACACCACAACACTGGCCCCAGCCACTTCTATTTTATTATTATGTGCTTTCTTTAAAAAAAAAAAAATGCTTGCTTATTTGTTGATTGATTTTCATCTACTTGAAAAGTAAAGCAACAGAGAGGCAGAGAGAAAGCAAGAGAGAGAGAGAGAGACAGACAGACAGACAGACAGAGAGATACCTTCCATCCTCTGGTTCAACCCCAAAATGCCCACAATAGCCAGGGCTGGGCCAGACCAAATGTAGGAGTTGGTACTCCATTCTGGTTTCCCACATGGGTGGTAAACAGGTGTGCTTATCAAACACTGGTTGTGAAAAGTAATAAAAGGATCAAAGATAATGAAATAAAAGATACCCTATCAAAAATAAAGCACAGGGGTCAGTAGAAATACCCAGTGAGAAATAGCATTTGGCAGTGAAAATAAAGGCACGGTGACAATGCATGAGACTAGAACCTAAATAACAGTTTCCTTTGTCCTAAACCCATGCCAACTATAGAAAGAAAATTACTGATTCACATATGAGGGGTTTCTAAGAGGTCATGGAGAAGTAATTAAAAGCTAAGTATATTTTGGCAGAAAACATTTTGAAATCCATACACCCAGGTGGTTGTCAAAAAGGTGGTGGGAAATGTGCCCAGTAGCCTCAGAGTGGGATTAAGCTAACTAAAAATTAAAGACAGAAATATGCAAATAGAGAGTCATTTCCCTATCTCAACTCCCATCCAAGGTTGCACCTGCAGGAACCTCACATTACTGTCCTAGTTACATGACCAAGTGCCTTCCACAGGGCACTTGATAGTCAAGAAGCTCAAGTGTAGCTTACTAAACCTTACAGTTCGAATGTATCTCCTCAAATGCAGGTACCAGAAACTTAATCTCTAAAGCAACAAGTGTTGGGAGATGGGGCCTCAGAGAGGTGATAGGCCACATGCCCTCAGGGATGGAGGAGTTTGGCCTTGTGGAACCCAAGTGGGTTTGTTAGGAGAGGCCCAGTCGGTCCTCCTCTCCCTCCACCTCTCCCCCACTGTCCTCCCACCCACCCTCACCTCTCTCTCCCTGTGCCTTTCTGCCATAGGGTGAGGCAGCAAGAAGTACCCAGCCAGATGGCAGTCCATCAGTGTTTGGTTTTCCAGCCTCCAGAAAAGGGACCCAGGTCTCTTCTCAATGATCAGCCAGTCTTTGGAGTTTACGTGACAGCAGCACAAAACACACTGACACTAAATTAGCAATAAACAGCACCAACCCAGGGAAAACTATTCTCAGAAATAAGGCTGTCAGAATCAAAGCAGACGCCATAGGCAAAGGAACGTAGCGTTTGAGGCCTACTCTAGCAGGTCAGGATTCTGGGCGAGAGACAAACTTCACCTCACTTCACACGCCTTCCCACAATCAGGAAACCTGGGCGCTGCTATCACAATCATTCATAAGGAGCGCGTTGTCCAGTCCTGGGAAGAGCACTGCACGGGCTGGAGTGTCCCTCTCCTTCATTCGCTACGTGCACAGTCTCTGCTGTCAGGGGCCAGATGCTGGACGATGCCTGATACTTGAAACGAAAGGGAAGCCGACCCCAGCACTGCAAGTCGACTACACAGCACCACAGCAGGGAAGGAAGGCCCCACTGCATTGCCTGGTCTAACACGGAGGACAAAGGTGCGACACGCAGCAAGGCCACCTGATGGCGGTGAGTTGACAGCATCATTAAAATGCCCGTGGTTCCCGGGGATGAATCCAAGACCTTGCACGAGACCCCTCGTCTGAATTGCATTACTAGCGTAAGTGTGATGAAAACTATTCAGATTCCATTCGGCTGAGCTTTCCCATTTATAAAGTAAGGATTGCAGTAAACTATAAACTGTACGCAGCTGTTTAAAGTGAGATAATGCGCAAGCTCATGGTCCACCTCAAGCATGCAGTGGTAGTCTACATTTTCCTTCTGAATTAGCCAAGAGTTAGGAATCTCGCTTCACTTACATGCGTACGCTGGCTTGTCCACACACACCTAATCACAGGGACAGAAACCAAGAAAATAAAGAAAAGGTCCAGATTTCAAAAAAATGATTTTGCTCTTTCCGTTACACTGGGCAACACAGGACCAGTCAATATCACTACAGAGACCAACTTCGCAACAAAGGAATAAAAGACGTCTGCTGTATTTGGGGGAGTTAATGCAACCGCAGCAGAAGACAGACAAAATGGCTGGGAACACTTACACTGGGCCAGAATGAAATACACCATTCTTAATTTTTTCAATTAAAAAGAATCAATATTAAATATATAGATGCTAAAATTATTCATACCTTTTTCTGAGTACTTTAATGAAAATAACAGGGAATTCAATGCTGGCTTGGCTGAGCCAAAGCAGCAGGCACTAACATTCTTAGTGTGCCCTGGATTTAAAATTAGGCTTTCCACACAGAAAAGAACCGCAGTGAAGGTGAATTCTTTTAAAGCAAATAGCATGCTTCATAAATACCTGACAACAAATACAGCTTAATAAATATGGAATTTCTGATTGCATCAATAAATAAGAACTTTAATTGGCTTTAAGAGCCAGCTGAATGGTCTTAAAGTTCCCTGAGTTCACAGCTGTCACCTTGCCAGAGGGTTTTCTTAGATTAAGTTCTTTAGTGAGCGTCTATTCTTAAAGCATAAATTATCACCGTGGCCTGCTGCAGCCGCCATCACCACTAGCTCTACCCCTACACTTACAATAGGCGTCTTCAGATAACCTTGGCATCTGGGCTAGGTCAAGAAGAAAGCAAATATAAAAATTTACCCTTACCTATAGTTTAGCATTAAAGTCAGTCAAACCAGGGCTGCTTGTACTACAAGTTGGAAGGACTGCTGCTGGACCTGGGAGAAAATCCAGGGTACAAGCCCCTTCCAGGAAAGGATCAACTTTCTGGACTCATCTGTGACCTAGGATATAATTATTCTGTGCCCTTTACATAAAATATCTCAACCTCAGTAATACCCCTGTTACGTTATCTAACAAAGTTGAAGAAATGGAGCTCATGGCATGGTGAACAGGGGCAAAGGTGCCTTGTTCAAGGTCACACACATGGTGGGTTCAGTATTTAAACTTCAGTCTGTCTCCTCCAAGAAAAAAAATCCTTTTTAATTACATATCCTCCAATGTAAATTAATACCTTTTTATGTTCTTAAGGAACTCACAAGTTGAATAAATTACATAAATGAAGATGATAGAGGAAAATTCTAAAATAGGGAGTTAAGCACTAAACCCTGACTTCACCACCATTTGGCACTTGACATGCATGTTCCGTCGGCCCCACACCGATACAGCAGTTGGCTAATCTAACCAATGGACAAAAGATCACTTGATTTAAAACATTTGTAAAGGGGCCGGCGACCTAGACAGCAGCCCCGGTTTGAGTCTTGGCTGCCCTACTTCTGACCCAGCTCACTGATAATGTGCCTGGGAAAGCAGCTGAAGATGGCTCAAGTACTTGGGCCCCTGTCACCCATGTGGAAGACATGGATGGACTTCCTGGTTCCTGGGTTCAGCCTGACCCAGCCTTGATGCAGCCATTTAGGGAGTGAACTAGTGAATGGAAGATCTCTTTGCTCCTCTTTCTCTCCATCTCTGTCATGTTGCCTTTCAAATAAATAAATCTTTAAAAAATAAACAAAATATTTCAGTGAACACACAAGTGTGCCTGCCAATTCCCTTGGTTTTAACTCTGCTCCAGCAGGGTCTGTTCTTTTCCTCTGCATTGAAAGGAGTTTTTATCCTTCTAAATATATTCAGGAAGTCTGCATATGATACTTTAAAAAATTTTTTTAAATAAATAAAAGTATAAGTAAAGTTTAGGACAAACAATATTCTCTATATGTAGGAACTTTGCAGAAAATGAAATTAAATGAAAAGTCTATTTTGATGGAAAGAAATTGAAAACCATGAACTTGTCATGAACTTTTTGAAGATCCCACATACATACATATTTTTAAAAATTTTGCACCAAAAATCAGTTTATCTTGAATTCCATTTTGCCTAAGCTTCTTGGAGTGCCCTGTATGACCAACATGTAGGCGATGTTTCTGAGGGAACTGTAGTTAGTGGTCCAAATCAGGTCAGAAGCAACATTTGCCCTGAACAATCTCAGTAGCAAGCACTAGAACTCGACTGTCCCCAACCCTGCTGACCAGCTAGAAGTGAGCAGGATGACGGCCCCCACCTGAGCCCAGTAACTGCTGGGAAGGTTCCATGGAAGCCCAGCAACAGGAAGGCAGGCAGGCAAGAAGGGGTTGAGACATTCAAGGAGAACTTGGGAGGGTGCTCCTGTCTTAATCCCAGGAACACTCTTAGAAACCCATGTTCTTTGGTTTTCCTTCTTAGAAAAAAAATAAAATAAAAAAAAAATAAAAACAACAACAAAACAGAACATTCACTAGCTCCCCCTTGCCTCTTTCACTGCTACCGCAGGTCACTTGCACATTCCCAATCACCCGAGGCCCACACAACTCATACAAGGTCTTAGGGCTTCCTGCCAACCCTGGGAAAGCATGGAGTCCCACAGAGATCATCTCATGGTTTTCATTTTAACAGCAATGGAAAATGGCACAGTAGGGAAAAATAGGAAGTTTGAGCAGTCTCAAATGTCTCATAATAAAATGAGTAGCCTTAGTATGTACATGAAATAGAAGGTGGATTTTTTCTCCCCCTACTTAAAACTTGATTTCTGCTCAGGACGAATCTTGGGCCATCGCTCCTGAAAGACAGCCTCTCCCTTCCCCACCAGCATGCCCTCCAACCCCAGCTTCAGACGGATGTCCAAGCCCTGTGATGAAAACAAGTGTTACTCGTGGGTGCCATTGGTGCTCAAAAGTTATAACAAATATCACTTGAAATGCCATTCTCCTTGTCATCACTGCTGGCAGTCACTGCTAACTGAATCAGAGTCCTTTCTGTGCTATATGCAGCCACAATAGTTGTTAGCAGTGGGAACTCATATCCTTGTCATAAACTGTTTCTTGCACAATATTCTTTATCAGAACTCAAAACCAGAACAAAACAACTGGATAAACAACAACGGAAAAGCTTTCATGGGCATTTTGTTAAGAGTCGTTTCATCACACAAAATGGGTCTCAGGGGTGCTATGAAGGGGCAAAAAGATGAGGAGTTCATGAAAACTGAGCAAGTTCATGTTTAATTTCCTTAGTGGGATGGAGGCTCCAGGTGATGAGCTCAATTAACCTTTGAAAGGAATGGCAGGAAACAATATTGATTTAACATTCCCTAATAGCCTCCTTTATAGTGCCAAGGGCCCAGTTGACATGAAATATCTGGAATTTCCAGCAGCACCGTACAATTACACACTAGTCTGGAGGTGGACTAGGAGTGGAGAAGAGAGGTCCTGACTGCTCAGTCAGGGATTCACTAGAGGGGCATGGGAGAAGAACAAGGGGGAAAAACAGATGGAGTTTCCAGTAAAACAGAAATTCAAGTGCTTAAACATAAGTGGGGGCAGGGCTTCATCAGAAAGGGTTTGCCCCCTGTCCTCCCCCCCAAAAATGAAGGAAGCTGCTACTTGGAGATCTCTCTCAGGTCAAAGAGTGCTTATGATTGGAGTCAGAATCAGAGATTTGAAAGGACTGGTGTTTACAGGGAGGATACTTAGATTCTACCTGTACTCACAATCCCAGGAACCCCTTCCTGAGACACAAATGGGCAAGGAGGGAAGCAAGTTTCATGCTTGTGTAGCTGCAAAATTTGGGGCTGAGAATAAGGCAGAGAAATGAGGGAAATAAGGGACATTCCGAGGATCTCAGTCCAGAGGAATAAGAGAAGTTCCTTTGGGTCCTCTGCGAAGTCACACACAGGTCAACGACATGATGTAGAGAAAGAGAATCTATTTAGGCACTGCCTAATGGTGGGGTTTTGTGAGCAGGACACACATGTGTTGCATGTGTTGAAGGAAAAAGAACAGCATGGCAGGTGCACGGCTGCCTCCTCCAGTCCGCGGGGAAGCGCCCCGTGAGCAGACTGTTCTGGTGCACGACACTCAACTGAGTTTGCTTCAAGGCCACCTCTGTAGATTTCTGATGGAAGACCATGACGTCATTCTTACAAAAGCATGGAAACTATACATTTTTTCATAGTTCAAGAACTGGATGCATTATGGCTCCTAAACAACATATTCTAGTTTGATTTTGGGGTGTTGGTTTGGAAAATAAGAGGAAAAGGAAAACAGACCCTTAACTATCTCCTTAACAATAAATTAATAGAGGCACAGAAGAATGGGATGACAAAACAAAACAAAACAAAACAAAACAAAACAACAAAGCAAAATGAAGCCCAAAGTTTCAAGATCAATAACAGCATATCCTGAGCCATCCATACAATGAGCACCAGAAAGACCCATTAGTAGCACTACCAGATTCTCCTGTAATGGAGTCTCAAATGCCACGTTCCACAGAGAGAGAAAATGGAAGATGTAAGCCAATTACCAAAGGATCCACAGTCCCCTTGCATATTTTTAAATGATGGATCAATAAGGCACCAGGGAACGCTCACTGAGCATCTTTGAGGGGCGTTCCTATCCTAGCGACATAATCCCCAACTCACTTTGTTTTAGGGCTTCACGTGGAGAGGGCATTGATTCCACATTCCCCTTCTACTCTTTAACTGACTCTCTAGTTTTCATTATCTCCAATCTATTGAATTTATCTTAGTGGCTACTTAGTATAGAGTTCTCACGTGCACAAGGAGGGGTACCCTACATTCTTTATCATGCATTTGGTTTCTCTCACTTAGCATAATAATTTTAAGGTTTTCCATGTTGTAGCATTGATCATTAACACACCATGTGTTTTTTATGGTTGAATAATATTCCAATGCATGTATATATCACATTTAACTTATCCAAATGTTCAGAAGCTAATAACTGGAGATACCTACTTTTCAGCCATTAAAATAATACTAAGAACAGCCATATTTAAGTTTCCATGTGGAAGCAAGCTTTCAATGATCTTCAGTGTACTGAACACCTTTAACAAACTGACCAGACTATCTTCCAAAGAGGCTGTACCATACTTCTTTTTCGTTTGCTTGTTTGTTTTTTGTTTTTAAATAAAACATGGTCTAACAGAAAGTTGTGGATAGTGGGAAATGGGGTGGGACACCCGGCAGCTGACAGGGAATGCACACACATTCATTCTGCAAACAGACCCCTTTCCCACCAGCACCAACTCCAAGTCTGTCCCCTGCAGGTGCTCCTTGTTTTAAGGGATCATTAAGCAGTCATCACCAAATAGACAATGGCTGGACCAAAAGCACATAGGATCCGCAGAACCGAGACACGAACTGCTCTACCTGGGATGTCTCACCATCCATGGTTAAAAGAGACAACAAGGTCTCTCTCTCTTTATTCAAGTTTCAGATTCCAGAGGGTTTTCCTGTTTTCTCAGGAGTTCCTGTTAACATGAAGGACTACAGAACGCAGTGAAGTTGCCCAATAAGACGGACCCATCTCAGTGCTGAAGTGACATGGGTGTGTGGCCAGTTGGGGCCTTCACATAGCAGCTTGCCTGTTGAGTGCAGATTCATGATGGGGAGAAGCACAAAACTGAGGCCAGATTGAGGCCATCGATCTTATTCTCCCTGTGAAATGGTCTACAATGGAGCTCGGGCTGCTGGAATGAGTAGGGCACAAATAGAGCTCTTCCTATAGGAGAAATGGGGTTGCTAAATGCCCTCATTGTCTTCACACAGACAGATGTGCTGAAATGAAAGTACTCCCAAAGTTAGAATAGAATTATTTTGCAGGGATCAACATAACAGGCACAGAGTATAATAACCCAAAATGACAAAGAGAAATAGGAGAGGTACAGGTTCCCTAAGTACAAATTTAGAGTCAAAATACTGGTTGCAAAACACGGTGGCATTTAGCTTGCTGACTAAGATTACCAGAGCTGCCACCCAAACAAAACCAGCATTATCTCATGGCTCACTGGAAACATCTGGATTTCTGAGACACAGGTGGCTTTAAATAACTTTACCAGCAAATCTATAGTCACCATTTAGATTTAAAAAGCAGCAACTTTCTAGCAACTCGTGCAATGCTCTCACAGAATTAAAATCAGTCTTCCAGTACAATTAAACATGAACCATGGTATTTTATTACCAGCGCTCCAAGTTATGGAGGGTAGAAGACCTTTCCTCTTTCTATAGAAATAGAGGATAACAGGATTGTATATACCCCATGCTCAGCAAATAACTGATCAAAGCAATCTGTATTTTATAATCTCTCCGGAATGCCCGACCTGCAGCTCTCTGGTGTCCAGAACTATTTGTTTTAACTACCAACTGAGTTGTCTATTGATCACGAAAGGTAATGTACCCTCCTCTGCTTACTTATGAGTGAAAAACTGACGACTATAGAAAACAGATAAGTTTTTATGTTTGGCCTCTGTCTTTCATTGAATGTAATAAGCTGAATGTCAGCCCCAGCAAAGCAAACATTCTTGAGTTTTCCCAATCCTATTTATTCCATATTTGCCTGGTACCCTTATTCTTCTCTTTAAGTTTTTTATTTTCCAACTGATCAGCCATGACTATTTCAAGGCACATCTCCAAAGCACTAACATTTGACCTTCCATTTAACCCCCAAACTCCAGTTTTAGGAATTTACCCTCAACCTAAATTTAAAAAGAAAGAAAAAGACACAAGGGAACCTAAGACTTGACAACAGGGACGTCACCAGGGAATGGTACATTAAGGTTAAGAAAAGACTTAAAATGCGTAACAGAACTGATGAGATAAA